GGAGGAGGGGGAGGAGGAGGGAGAGGCGGTGGGCCGTGACTCCTGCGGTGTTGCATTGTTGCCCGCGGCGTCGGATTTCGGGGCCCGGCGCCTCCGCGGCGCGCCCCCGCGGGGCTCGGCCCCTCTCGGGCGGAGCTGCAGGACCGCGAGAGACCTTTCTGTCGGGACTCGAGGGAGAAGGGGCGTGGGGCGGGAAGGTGCGCATTCGAGTATCGTTGGCACGTGTTGGGTTTGCTGCAGTATTGCGCTCCGCTCCTCACCCTCCTCCTCCTCGCCTCCTCTTTCCCTCTCCGCAAATGCCGGATGCTCTATATTCGTTGATGGACGGGACAGCCACGGGACAACCACGAAACAACCACGGGACAGCCACGGGACAACCGCAGGACAATCACGGGCCAAATGGGTTTTTGTGTTTGAACAACCACGGGACATCCACGGGACACCGATCTACCTATCTAGTGATATCACTACCAATCGACCGGTCAATACCATGACCTATCGGTCTCACAATTGATCTGCCGATCTCACTATCAACATAATTTCGTCTGACGACCTATCGGGGTCATTGTTGATAGTCGAGTCTCACAGTTGACCCATCGGTGCCCCTGTCTATGTATCTACTTACAGACGGAACAGCCGCAGGACAACCACGGGACAGCCACAGAACAACCACGGGCCAATCACGCGACAACCACGGGACAACAACCACAGGACACGCATAGGACAATTACGGGACCACCATTGGTCAAACCGCGGGTCAAACCGCGGGACGACCGCGGGACAACCGCGGGGCAACAACAGGACAAGTACGGAGCAACCACGGGACAATCAGAGGACAGCCGCGGGACAGCCACGGGACAGCCACGGGACAACCACAAACAAAACCACGGGACAACCACAAAGGACAACCAGGAGGGCCAACCACGGGCCCCACCACGGGACAACCACAGGACAACCGCGGGACAACCACGGGACAGCACCCGAACAGCTGCAGGACAACCGTGGCACGCCGTTTGAGCTCCCAAGGGGCAACCGTGGGGCATCACGCCCCGGGAGGCCAGACACCGCGACCCATTTTGGCTTGCGCTGGGCCTCGTTGGGCGAGGAGAGCTCGTGCTGCTTCGCCTCGCCTCGCCTGCACGCGCGGCGCGAAGCCGACTTCCCAGTCTGGCGACTCCGCTTCACTCCGGTCTCACCTCCCCCCACCTGCTCCTCCTCCTCCCCGTCCTCCCCCTCCTCCTTTCTCTTCATCCTCCTCCTCCTCCTGCTTCTTCTTCTCCTCCTCCCCTCCTCATCCTCCTCCTCCGCCTCCTCCGCCTGCCTTTCTTCGCCCAGTGATGGTCAAGTCAAGGTCTCCTCCTCCTCCTCCTCCGGCTCCTCTCCTCCTCCTCCTCCTCCTCCGTCCTCCTCCTCCCCTCCCAGTCCTCCCCCTCCTTCTCCTCCTCCTCACTCCTTCTCCTCCTCTTCTCCTCATCCTCCTCCTCCTCCTCCTCCTCCTCCTCCTCATCTCCTCCTCCGCCTCCTCCTCCTCCCCCTCTCCCCCCTCCTCCTCCTCCTCCTCCTCCTCCTCCTCCTCCTCCTCCTCCTCCTCCTCCTCTCCTCCCCCTCCTCCCCCTCCTTCCTCCTCCCCTCCTCCTCCCCCTCCTCCTCCTCCTCCCCTCCTCCTCCTCTTTCCCGTCCTTCCCCTTCTCCTCCTCCTCCTCCCCCTCCTCCTCCTCCTCCTCCTCACATTTACCAGATCTCTGACCAGCCTTGAAAACCTCCCCAGCGGCTGAAAAACGGTGAGTCTATCAATCGCTCCCTCTTGCGGTTGTGCTCTCCGTCGCCATCCCGGATCCACCAGCGTCGAGCCCGGGGGGGAATACGGAGGGGGCGGGACTTCTCAGAGGGCTCGGACGGCCGCTGGCCTTTCGAGAAGTTGTCCTAACATGTCTTCGAAGAGCGGGCAGGAACGCCGTCTCACAAGGCTGGAGGGCTTCTGAGAAGCCCCGCCACCTTCCGAGAAGGCCTGCCTCTGTGGTTGGTCGCGTAGCATTTGCCGCCACTGTGTTGCATCGCATGGTGTTGCAAAGTCTTTTGCAAGCCGCGTCTTGTGCAGCGTGCGCTGCCCGCCGCCGCTTTGGCCCTGGGCTCCTAATCAGGTGCTCCGAGCTTTCGCGGGCGCGAGCTCTGCTGCCCAGAGGGTCTCTTGCCACTGGAAAAAATCGGGCCGAACGAAAGGGGGGGGGATAGGGAAAGGGGGGGTACGAAAACTGCTGCATGCAGCTGGTTTCGGCCCCGCCGCCAGGCCCAACCCTCGATACATGGGCACCTCCCGGCGCCGGGAGGCGCTGGGAAAATCCGCCGCGTGAGCTGATTCTCTACCCTGCCCTTTGTTATTCCCCCCCCTTCGTTCCCCCGGAACAGAAATCCTTCGCTCCCCCCCTCCCCCGGGTGCTCGCCGCCGAACGCACCGGGTGAGGAAAGCCGCCCGTCTCCCCCAGCAGCGCGGGGCTCAGGGGGGGGGGACCGCTGCAGGGGGGGGCCAAGGGCGCGGCAGCAGCCGCCGGGTGGCATGGCGGCCGAGCAGGAGGCCGCCCCAGGCGGCAAGGAGACGGCGGCCAGCTCTCGATCAAGCAGTGGAGAAGCGTCTTGGCGTGCCTATAGGCCTACCAAACAATGTTCTAAGAACCTTTTGTGGTTTCCACGAAATGTTCTTCGAACATTTCTGGCTGGGCCTGTCTTGTTTTAGCACATCGGGTCTTATGCTCTGAGAGCATTGTATTTGTGTTTAGAACATCTCTGGGTTTTAAGAACATGTCGTGGTAGGCCTATAGAATAGAAATGCCGGGACGGTCGGTCCTTGTTCAGCTCGAGGAGGATGAGAATAGTGTATTTCTGAGGGCTGTGGCCGATCTTTCATCGCATCGGGGAATCCGCGGTCGGCGTGCTGGGGGGACGCGCCGATTCGGGCCAGGAGCCAGAACCCCTCCTCCTCCTCCTCCTCCTCCTCCTCCTCCTCCTCCTCCTCCTCCTCCTCCTCCTCCTCCTCCTCCTCCTCCTCCTCCTTGCTCAGCCAGATGCGCAAGCCCACCGCGGCCGCCGCCGCTGGGCCGCAGCAGCCTCTTTAGCCGACTACAACACAACCCTGGACGGAATGGTGAGACGGGACGGCCACCGTCAGAGACCACGCCCTACGACAACCCAGCGATCATCAACACAATGGACGCAGTCCTCGACCCGTTCGACGAGCTGGCCGAGTTGGACGCCCACTTTGATTACGCCGAGTCCGAGCAGTATGCTACCGCCCCGCCCGAGACGCTGTCCTCGGTAGGGGGCGATGAGACGGCCCAGACCGTCGACCACCCTGTGGTGTTGGGTTCAGGACAGCCTCAGCGTGCTGCTCGGACTGACCCTGATGCCGCTCCGCCCGAGACGCGGTCCTCGGTAGGGAGTGATGAGACGGCGCAAGCTGTCGACGTTCCTGTGGTGTTGGAACCAGGGGAGCCTCCGCAAAAGGCAAACCCTGATGCCGCTCCGCCCAAGACGCAGTCCTTGGTAGGGGGTGATGAGATGGCGAAAGCTGTCGACAGTCCTGTCGTGTTGGGGCCAGGGAAGCCCAGCAGCAGTGTGAGAGCCGATCCTACACCTGCCAACCAAGAGAAAGGCCCCACGAAGTTCCCGCAGTCTGACCACTCCCTGTTTTTCTCCAACATCACACAATGGGGACCACAGTCTGAGAAATGGTTGGCAGGCCCAGGCAAACAATATCAGATGGTAGCCCTAGTCGAAACACACATCTCGCCTGAAAAAGCGCCGCTCATCTACGACAAGATTGCAGCGGACGGTTGGAGAATCTCATCGACTACGGCCACCCCTACCAGAAGATCAGACGACGGCAACACGGGTGGCGAGATCCTCTTATCCAGGTACCATGTCCAGGCCACCTCGTTCAACCATCTCCGAGATCTTGCCATTTCTCAGCGCAGGCCAGACCCCTTCCTCGGCTTCACGCCCATGGTATGGCACAGACGCTCTGGCAATTTGGTTGTTATTGCTGCATATCTGGAACCCCACAGGCAGATCGAGGGAGCAGTGCACGACAAGCTGCTCTCGCTGGGCGCCTTCGTTACCATGCTGACAGACCCTTGGATCATTCTGGCGGATTGGAATATGACACCCGAGCAGCTTGCAGCGACAGAGTGACTGGCCAAATGGAATGCTACCATCGTGCGAGCACCTGGATCCGCCACCTGCGACAAGGGCCAGGGGCTCACGCTAGACTTCGCACTGGTCAAGACGGGCATCGAGCACACCATTTCCATCCGCCAGTGCCCCACTGTACCGTGGGCCACCCACGTTGGCCTCGAAGTTCGAGCAGGCAGTGCAGATCCTTGGTGGTATCAGTCTATCGATACGCCCAAGGCCTTCCCCACAGTGGACAGGCCCAGGATACCACCAGACCCCAACAGCAAGACCGCCATCAAGAAACGTAAAGCAGCTGAAGCTCGAGCAGCTCGTCTTCGTGATCTACCTCCTGAACTTCAACAAGCAGCAGCACAACTTCAGCCACAGGTCGAGCCCGCAGCGCCGAATCCGATTTCCTACGCCATCCCGCTGGACTTGTGGCAAAAGCAATGGCAGGAGGCGTCCCCCACGCGTTGCAAGCAGCCGCACGCGCACTTCGTGTACCGACACTGGGCGCACGACGCCGACCTCCTCAACCTCAAGTACGCCAACTGGGTCACGGCCCTCGAGAACACCATGATCAGCCACCACCAGATCGACCCGAAGGAAGCCGCAGCATACACTGGCCGAGCTCAGGGCTACCAGCTATCTTGGAAGAAGACAGCGGCTGCTCCAGGCCGCGTACACGTACATGACCCACATTCCGAATGGTGGGCCATTACGCTCACCCTCATCAAGCGCTACGCCGCGCTCGTCGACAAGCCTAAGCACGCAGCGCTTATGGAGCAGCAGGCCACCATCATCCAGCAGCGCGCCGACCATTTCAACAGCCACATGCATGATCTCCAGTTCGAGAAGGATGAGGACACCATCTTCCGCTGGTTCGCGCTCGTCTGGGCCCCGCACCTGGACAAGGATGAGACCGACGACCTGGTCACGATTACCGCTACCTGGGCCTCCAGAGCCCTCTCGGCCGCCCTCGCCAAGTCCAAGAGGGCCTACGGGGCTTGGCTCGCCCAACAATGGAAGCGCCGTCCTGGAGTTCTACACGCCCACGTTAAGCCTGCACCTGTACGTCACATCGAGGCTTACACGGCCAACCTGACCACCGCCGACCCCGCCGTCATCATGGACAACAAGAAGCAACAATGGCAGCAAGTCTGGCATGCCACCGAGACCTCCGACGACATCCTCCAGGCCCTGACTAAGGCCAAGGCAGCAGCTGTTGTTCAACCTCTCGAGCCCATCACAACCGAGCAAGTACACCGCATTCACGGCCGCATGCCACCTGGTAAAGCACATGGAGTTGATGCCTTCGGACCTCGCGACCTCCATCGATTGCCAGAACCTGCCGTCGAAGCCTATGCAGATGTCCTCAATTCAGTGGAGCAAGCTGGCATCTGGCCTGTGCAAATTTCAGGCACCATTGCAGCTCCCGCCGCCCAGAAAGCGGGAGGCGACAGAGTCCTTGGCATGCTTCCACACATGGCCCGACTCTGGTCTCGTATTAGATCTACCGCGTCGGAAGCCTGGTCGCAAGGACTTGACGACTTTTGGACTACAGCCATCAAAGGCTCTTCAGCTCTCCAAGCAGCCCTACATAGGGCCTTGTTAGACGAGACAGCCTCAGCACTCGGCATTCAGTCCGCGACTTTGCTGTTAGACATCCAGAAATTCTACGACAATATCAAGCTCGCCAACCTGATCATGGTGGGCCTCAACTGCGGCTTCCCTGCCATCATTCTATTATTGGAAGTACAGCTCTACCTGGCGCCCAGGTTCTTGCGCAGTCGTCAATGGGTGAGCATGCCTATCTTCGCATCCAAGGGCATCATTGCAGGCTCCCCCCACGGCACCACCCTGGCACGACTTATTTTGTTACCTATTCTTCGACATGCTCAAGCTCAGGCAGAGCTAGCCCAGACGTGGACCTTCGTGGACGACGCGGTACTACGAGTTGAAGGTGTCCTACGAGCGTTGCAGAAGCACCTCCCCCGTGCTGCCAGGGTGCTCTGCGACGGCTTGAAGGAGTTCGAGTTGCCTATCTCAGACAAGACCGTCCTCATCGGCTCCGCACCCAAGGTCCGCCACTTGCTTGCCAAGAAGATGCGACAGTACGACATTCCAGTTACTGCGACGTCCACGGCCGTTGACCTAGGCGTGGACGCCGCTGCTGCTACCCGACGAGTACAAGCCAAAGCCAGGAAGCGTCAGAAGTCGGCCACCGCCAGGTTTCGCAAAATACATCGATTACGGAGCACTGCTCAGCAGGCCCGTATTTCCGCTGGCCTGTGGCGCACTGGCGCTCTTCCTGAAGGAGTCTTCGGACATCAGGTTCATGGCCTCGCTCGGCACGCTCTCCTCCGCTGGCGTCGACAGGCCGCCATAGCTGCGACGGGCGCTGCCGCGGGACGCTGCCTCGCCTCCCTCCTCGGCGCCACCTTTGACGGCACGGACCCCGGCGTCTCCCTGAGGATAGAGTTCCTCGAGGCCTGGCTTCAGCATTGGATGCGCCACCCGAACACGCACGCCAGGATCATCAGAGCCTGGCCAAGGATCAAGACCACCCTGCTCGCCGCTGGCCCCAAGCTGTGGCGCAAAGTGAAGGGCCCCACAGGCGCGGCCATCGCGACCCTGCTAGAAGCCAGCTGGGAGCCGACCTCCGCTACGACGTGGAGGCGCACGACGAAGGACGGCTACGTCGAGGAGTGGAACCTTCCTCTCGCCGACGACCCTGACCTCCTCGACGCCGACATCCACACAGCATTGCAAGACCTCAGCGAAGATCTACACCGACTTCTCTGGAGGCAGGCCGCTACACACATCCATGGAGACACGATTGCAGGAGGCGCAGACATGGTCACTATCCGCATCGAGCAAAAGAGGTTCCTCGCGAATGGCGACTTCAGCGATTGGGCCCTCAACAATACCATCATCAGCGGAGGACAGTGGACCAGAGACCGCCTCCACAACGCAGGCTACCAGATCGACAGAAACTGTGACCGCTGCAGCGCTCGCGCCCCTGAAACCCTGTTTCACCGCATGTGGCAGTGCGATGCGAATGTTGGGCCCGAGTTCGAGGCCAGCGACAAGCTACTGCCGCGAGCTCTAGCGGGGGCTGATGCCGACCCCGCCTTGTGGCTCCGGGGCCTTCCCTCTTCTGCTCTCACTACGCCCTCTTTCGAGCCATTGACTGGGAGGGACGGGTGGGGGTTTTCTGGTGAGGTTCGGGAGGGTTTGCCGACGTGGGAAGGTGCTCGTAATGGCGAGGGTGAGTTGTATCTCTTTGGCGACGGGTCTGGCGGAGCCTATTCCGACGGCGTCAGGAGACGTCGCGTCGGCTCAGGCCTTGCTGCTCTTCGTTGGGATCCTCCCTCGGCCTCCTGGACCCTCCACTCGGGCCTCCAAGCTCCCCTCCCAGGCTCCCGCCAGACCGTCCCAAGAGGAGAATTGTATGCGTTCTGCCTGGCACTAGAGACTTGCCTTCAGGATTTCACCTATGTCACCGACCACCTAGCCTTGCAGCGTGGTTGGCAGAATGGTAGATGTCTCAGGCCAGGTAGCCTCAAAGGTAAGAATAAGAATGGTGATCTCTGGCTGAGAATACGGCATCTCGTGCAGGATCGACCGCGTGGTGCTGACTCGGTCACGGTGCTCTGGACCCCGTCCCACGCCGATCCTCAGACCCTGCACGGCTTTCAGAAATTCCTAGCTCTCGGTAACCAGCAAGCCGACGAGCTTGCGGGAGATGCGGCCCACAAGTCGGCCACCCAAGCCCTCCCGCCCGTGCCCAGGACTGATGAATATGATGCTATCGCTGCGGTCGTCCGCCAGCGTGCACGCCTAATTCTTCGCTCTTTTGGAAAGAATGCAGAGCCACGAGGATTGTGGCCAGAGAGGCAACCCACACAAGAGGCTGCTCCCCGTTCCCAGTTGCAGACCGCGCTCGCGGATTCTCAGCACAAATTCGTTCGGTGTGTAGATAAATGGCGATGCTCTTCTTGTCACATTATCGTCGACGCTTGCCAGATAATTCCAGCTGCCGCATCGGAGTGTGTACCGCCTAGCCCCCTTCCTGAGTTTGCTGCGTGTGGTGAGGTCCTCTTGACGAGGGGCCCCCGTGTGATCAGCGGCAAGGCGATACACCCCTCCCACTTGTTGGCCGCCATCCCCAAGTGGCAAATGTTCTTCTGTGTCAAGTGCGGCCATACGGCCACGCACCAGGTCAAAAACCTACAGTACCCCTGCCCGCTCAGCCACCAAGTGGGCGAGCGCAGGGCCCTGGGACCCACTGGTAAAGGCCTCGAGAACCTCAGCAGGATCCGACGAGGCCTCCACCCGTCCAGATCGGGTCCCAGCAAGTCTGTTGTAGCCGCAATGCATGAATCAGCAGCCGAAGCTGCGATAGCGTCTCTGGCGGCTCCCAGCGGTGCTCTCTGAGTAAATTGTGAGGCCAGGGGAGGGCCTGTCGCGAGGTGCCGTGGGATGTCGCCACCCACGCCACCCCGAGAAAATCTGGATGGCCCTCCCTGGCGTCTTTTGTTTCCCCGTACGGACTACGTCCGATTGCTCCACTCCGCTCCTCCTCCTCCTCCTCCCTCTTCCCCGTCCTCCTCCTCCTCCTCCTCCTCCTCCTCCTCCTCCTCCTCCTTCCTCCTCCTCCTCCTCCACCTTCCTCCTCCTCCTCCTCCTCCTCCTCCTCCCCTCCTCCTCCTCCACCCTCCTCCTCCTCCTCCTCCTCCCCCCCTCCTCCTCCTCCTCACCTCCTCCTCCCTCCTCCTCCTCCTCCTCCTCCTCCTCCTCCTGCCTCCTCTCCCCCTTCCCTCCTCCCCCTCCTCCCCCTCCTCCTCCTCCTCCACTCCTCCTCCTCCTCCTCCTCCTCCTCCCCTCCTCCTCTCCCCTCCTCCTCCTCACTCCTCCTCCTCCTCCTCCTCCTCCTCCTCCTCCTCCCCCTCCTCCCCCTCCTCCTCCTTCCTCCTTCTGCTCCCGTCCTCCTCCCCCTCCTCCGCCTCCTCCTCCTCCTCCTCCTCCTCCTCCTCCTCCTCCTCCTCCTCCTCCCCTCCTCCTCCTCTCTCCCTCCTCCTCCTCCGCCTCCTCCTCCTCTCTCCTCTACCGCCTCCTCCCCTCCTCCGTCCTCCCCTCCTCCTCCTCATCCTCCTCATCCTCCTCCCCCTCCTCCCCCCCCCCAAAAAAAAAAAAAACAGGCGGGGCCCCTGAACCATCGTGCGCCCCGCTCCCGCCACCCGCGAAAACAGCGCCGACGTCGCGAATGCGCAGTGGAGAGACCCGTGCCAAGGACGGCCCTGCTTGCCTCCAGGGTGCCCTGGGTTTCTTGGGTGTCGATGGTTCGGCGATGGTTTTTCGACGGTTATTCGATGGTGTTTCATGGTCTTGAGGCGTGAAACTTGCAGCAGCCTCACGGATGGAGGGCGGGTCGTTTTCAAAATGCGGTTCTCGCATCAGCGCCGCGGGCATTCGTTTTAGACATGTGCAAGAGCTTCACAGATGTAGGGCGGCTCCTTTTCAACGGATGGGTTCGATGGTTGTTCGATGGTCTCTCGGGTGACGTTCCCACGCACAAGAAGCACTGGGCGTCCTGGGGTTCCAGGGCTGGGCATATTGTGGAAGGTTGACTGTGGACTACAGCCGGGGCCCTGAAGAAGGATCCCTTTTCGTTGGGGAGGGGCTCCATGTTCCTGAATTGTTTCGCAGTTTGCCTTGGGTTTTCCTGAGGTCTTCCATGGGAAATTGAGGTTCAACTTATGGACAATAGGGGCCTCGTTCCTTATTTAGGGTTCCTTAGGTCAACGCCCGGACTGGCCTCCGCCGTATGCCCGCGCGCACAGAAGTTGTCGGGGGTCCGCGCGGAGCTCCTGGATCGGCGCCGGTGCCCCCTGACGGCGCCTCTGGCGCCGCCCCAGGCGCGTACCGCGCTCCACGGGGGAGGGCCGAACGCCGATCCGAGAGAGTCGCGCGGACCTCTGACAGTGTGTGTCTATGCAGCTGCTATCGTTATTGACATTATTATCATTATTATTATCATTATTATTATTTATTATTATTAGTACTATTATTATTATCCTTAATATTACTATTACGATTATTATTATTATGCTTATAAGTCTGATTATGATTAGTCTTAATAGCTGTTGCTGTCTTCTTCTTATGTGTATAGCATTGTTATTATGATTGTTATCAGTATTATCAGTTTCTTGTTCTACCCCAGCCTGGCGGCTCACGGGCGTGTCTTGCTCCTGCTCTTGTTCTTCATTTTGCTGCCATGGCTCATCCGCCCGCTCCTCACTCCTCCTGCTGTGTTGCCCTCCGTGGCCGCTTCCAGCCGTGGTGCCAGTTCACCCTGGCACCTTGCGACACGGTCCCCTGTGCTACTGCACGCACCCCATGGGCGATGTAGTTTTGGCGGTGCTGCGCATCATTGTGCGCTGTTGGTCGCAATGCCACCAACCGTGCCAAGGACACCATTTCGCTTCGCCGTCAAGGCACGGAGCTCGGTTCGGGATCATACTAATCATGGTTTCGTCCGCGGCCTGCTCGACAACAGGTTGCTTTCAAACACATTTTCGCCGACCGCCAGAGCAGGGGATTCGTGATTATACCTGGGGTCGTCAGGTGCCCCAGCGAGGGTACAGGGTATGAGGAAGGGGAGGAATAATATGGACCTCATCGTATTTAAGGGTGCCCCAGCCGGTTGTACCTGTCTGACATTTATTTACTTATTCATACCAATAGCATGGCGATGACACGGGGTGGGCGTAAAGATGACGATTCGCCACCGCGCGTGCAGAGCGCGGCGATTGGCCGCATCGCTTGTGACCTTTTGCCCTCCCTTCTCTCGCAGAGACTTGTGGTTGATACATTGCTTGTCTCTGCTGTCTCTGCTCTCTCCCTCTCTCTCCCTCCCTCCCTCTCTCCCTCTCTCTCTCTCTCTCTCTCCTCTCTCTCTCTCTCTCGATGTACATATACATATCGATGTGTGCATCGCTCTGTGCTTGTCGATCTGCATATAAGTTGTGTTTGCTCGGTCTCTCTCTCTCTCTCTCTCCCCCTCTTTCTTTGCTTTCCCTCTCACATACATATATATATATACATATATATATACATATGTATATATATATGTATATATATATATATATGTATGGCGTGTCCACCTGCCCGCCTCCACCTTTAGTGTTGTGTCCCGCTACCTGTATATATGTATGTATGTATGTATGTATGTATGTATGTATGTATGTATGTATGTATGTATGTATGTATGTATATGTGTGTATGTATTGTGTTCTCTCGTGGTCTGGTGTGTATGTATATGTGATACACGTATCAGGTTGAATTCCTTGATCTTTGTGCTCATTCTGGTCTCTTCCTCTCTCTCGTTCTCTCTACCAATCGTTCTTTTGGGGGGGGGGGCGTTCTCTCTCTCTCTCTCTCTATATATACCCCTCTCTCTCACGATCGCTCTCTATCGCTCTCTCTGTCTCTCTCTCTCTTTCTCTCTCTCTCTCTCTCTCTCTCTCTCTCTCTCTTTCTCCTTAGATGTATCACAAATCCTCATCGCGATCTCTCTCTCTCTCTATATCAACCTCTGCCCTTGTAGAAATATACATCCGTATATTTGCATTCTATGCATATTACTATATGCATAGGTTCCGTTCTCTATCTCTCTTCGGTTCTCTATCGATCTCTCTATATGTAGTTCTCATAGTGTATTGCTTATCTCGCCACCTTGCAGTGTCTCGATACTGGACCATATCTAGCACAACTCCATTCAGCAATCCGTCATAGTTTCTTCTTGATGTTATGTAATTTCTTTCTCGCACGCGTATTATTAATCCATACGTTTCTGCGTTCCACACCGATCGCATCAGACAAGTTGCACCACACATTTTGCGCCACCTAGTGCGCAATCATTCACAGAGGCGTCAACGCTGGACTCATTGCGAGTTGCTCATTGCCCATCTAGCGTGTGGAGTCTACACAATTAAATTTATGCTCACCCCACGGAGCTTGAGGGAGCTCTGTTTTCCGCGCGCACGTTCGTCCAATTCTGCGCGGCTTCGCTGGGCTCGATGTGATCGAGCAACTGTCGGCCAGCGAGGGCATCTTTCTCAATGTTTTCAACGCGTTGGATGCCCAGGGGCCGTGCCCAGCTCTTCGACAGTGTCTTGGTGATTCCTCGAAGGTTGTGAGTTCTTGTTCGTCTCGCCGCTGCTTCGCAGGAGCTGCTCCCAGATGAGCCCCGGCTCGTCTATGTGGGCAACCTCGCCTGGGTCGTCAAATGGCACGAGCTGAAGGACCACATGAAGCAGGCACGGCAGGGTGTGGATGTAGCGCTCCGCCGCTTGGGTCATACTTGGGTACTCCTGGGGGCCTCTCGGGTCGTCTTGGCGTCCTCTCGGGGTCCGCCGGGATCGCCTCAGACCCTCGGGCCCACCCCCAGATGAGCCCACACACCCGCTCCTCCCTCCCAGGTGGGCCCTTCCCCTCACCCCCAACCTCCCTTCCCCAGTCGCCTCCCCTTGGCCCAGAGGGGGCGACTAGGAAGGGAACTAATCTCACACGCTTGGTGACCCAAAAATAGCGGGGGATTCGGGCATGCCACCGAGATCCGTGATGCATTGTTCGTCGATCCCCACGTCCCCCTCCCTCCCTCGCCCCCATCCCCCTCTCTCCAAATGACGCGCTGGAAAAGACATGGTCATGATGTTCCTTTGTTGTATGCTGTGGATGTTGCTGCTCCCTCTGTGCGTTGACGGCGCGTCGTGCCACCTCTCCACAGCGCACTCACCGCGTCCAGTCCGCGGAACCAGCGCAGCGCAAACGGCGGCACCCTCCTTCGCCGCTGCAGGGCTGAGAGCACCAGAGGATCGCGATGAGGCAGTGGTGCCAGGACCGTCAGCGTAGATGGAGGAGGAAAAGGAGATGGAAGAAAGGAGGAGATGACCATGACGGTGACGATGACGATGGCGGTGACGATGTCGATGACGGCGATAATAATAATGGTGATAATGTTCGCGATGTTGATGGTGGCCATGGTGATGATGATGGTGATGATGAGGAGGAGGATGAGCATGAGGATGAGGATGATTATGTTGATGCGGATGATGATGATGATGCTGGTGATGATGATGATGCTGGTGATGATGATGATGCTGGTGATGGTGATGATGATGATGATGGTGATGATGATGATGATGGAGATGGTGATGATGATGTTGATGATGGTGACACTGATGATTGTGATGGTGATGATGATGGTAATGATGATGGTGGTGATGGCGACGATGATGGTAATGGTGATGGTGTTGGCGATAATGATAATGGTTGTGTTTGTGATGACGATGATGATGATGTTGCTGATGAGGATGGCGATGGTGATGGTGATGGTGGTGGTGATGGTGATGATGCTGATGAAGAAGAAGGTGATGCTAATGATGATGGTGATGGTGATGATGGTGATGATGATGGTGATGATGGTGGTGATGATGATGGTATTGCTGATGACGGTGATGGTGATGGTGATCGTGGTGATGATGATGATGATGATGATGATGATGGTGGTGATGATGATGATGATGATGATGATGATGATGATGATGATGATGATGGTGATGATGATGATGATGATGATGATGATGATGATGATGATGATGATGATGATGATGATGGTGATGGTGATGGTGATGGTGATGATGCTGAATATTCTGAAGATGCTGATGATGATAGCAATGGTGACGGAGGGGAAGAAAACAATAATACAATCCATGGCAGGAAAGAGGGGAACAGAGAGAGAAAGAGGAAGAGAAGGAGGAGGAGGATGAGATGGACATGGAGGCTGACGAGGATGAGTATGAGATGGAGGGAGGCTGGCAACGTGGAGTTCGCGAAAGTCCTCACGTTCGACGGGACCGACTGGGGCCGCTCGCGCGGAGTCGGCTACGTCAGGTACGCGACGGAGGAGGAGTCTGGGGGGTAGGGCGAAGGATCAGGAGCAACGACATGGGGCAACTATAGGGGGGATAGGCTCAGGGGAGGAAGTTCGAGATTCGAGGTTCGACGTTTCCAGATGTTTTCGTCGGTTCTCGGCGGTTCTTCCAGCTTGGGGGTGCCTTCCGTCGGCTGCGCCTCGCCGAGGCAGTTCCGGGGGTGCCAGAATCGTCCCGAACGGCCGCAGAAGGTTCGAATTATGACCCAAAACCACCAGGGGATAGGCTCAGAGGTGATTGCATCGACCCCCAATCGCCCATTGGTCGCCAATGGGGGTCCGATAGCCCATTCGCTCAGAAAGGCGAGGTCTCGATATCGGAGACCTGTCCTCAGTCTATCGGCGACGCATGGCCGATTCCAGGTCTGATGTTTCCCTCATGAGCCAGTTCCCTTCCGATCGTTCCCCCGCAGCCCTCAGCAGCACCCCCGCCGTCGCTCTGCATTACGCAGTCACCCATCGCCCATTCGTGCAAGCCACGGCCCGCGTCGATTCAATGGTGGGCGCGTGCATGCCATAAGAAGCGGGGGCAGCGGCATGTGGGTGGCATGGGCGGGGCATAGTGCGTCGGTCACCCGCACTGGGATGACGGCGACGTCTGCGGGAGGAGGAGGAGGAGGAGGAGGAGGAGGAGGAGGAGGAAAGCGACGACGACGGCGTCGACGACGCAGACAACGACGACGACGACGAGGAAGACGACGACGAGGACGACGAGGGCGACGACGTGGACGACAACATCAGTGGAGGCGTGCTGAGTGCTGTGGTGTGTGGTGTGGCTGGGTCCTGCGGCGGCGGCGGGTGCTCGCCCTTCAGCGGCGCTTGGCCCCAGAGCCGCGCGCGCTGCTGCCGAGTCGCACGAAGGTAGTGCGTGCGGCTGCGTGGATAGCGCCCTGGGTGCTTCTCGTGACAGGCTTCTCGGTAGCGTCTGCGGGTCAGTGTTGGAGCTTCTTCGAAGCCGTTTTGGGGCCTCTTGGGGGATATTTTGGATCTCTTGGGGGTTCTCCTTAAGGCCTCTTGGGGGCCTCTTGGGGCCTCTTGGGCCTTCTTGGTGCCAGGCCGCAGACGAACCCAGTCTGATTACAGCCAACGGTCTGGTGACCATGAGCGAGCTGCTTTCGCCGCAGGGCCCCCGGCACCGCGACATCATCGAGGATTGCGCTTCCGTGCGCCAGTTCGGTAAGATCGCGGGCAACGCGATCTCGCAGTCTAGATGCTGGAGCATGGACCGCCTTAGGCTCAGAACGGGCTGGGGTTCTCGGGCCGCTCCTTAGGTTTACGTCGTGGGACCTGTCTGTGGCCTAGGCCCGCCGTGGCCAGAAAAACCCCGTCGTTCCTTGTTCAGCCTTCCTTGTGGTAGCACGATGGCTGTCCCCATTCCGTTTGCCCGTTGTTCCCAATATGTCCGTGTTGTTTTGAAAAAGGGCATGAACAGGAACTGTTGGAATTCAGCGCGGATTTCTTGGATCGGCGCCCCCCCCTGGCGGCGCCTCCGCCGCCCCTGGGGCGCTCCCCGCGCCAGGGAGGGGGTCCAGCGCCGATCCAAGAAACCCGCGCGGACACCGTGAGTCGCGTTCGTTCCTCCACTGCTGCATCCTCGCTCGAGCTCCGTCGACGCCGAACACCTCCCTCCTCCCGCGCCCCGCGCCGCATGCCGCCGTGGAGCTGGCGGGCGGCGAGCCGGGGCAGGGCTGCGGGGGGGGGGGCGGGCCGAGGTGTGCCGGGCGTGTGGGCTGTGGGAGGCGGAGCTCGAGGCTGCCCGTGCACTCGGCCAGCGCACGCTCGAGCAGCGGGGTGCAGTGGGAGCCCGAGGGTGCTGCGGGTGTCGGCGCCTCGGCGGCGGCGTCCGAGCCCTGCCCTCGCCCATCGGCGGTGCAGGCAGCTCGGCGGGCGGTGGCGGGGGCAGGGCTCGTGACTCGTCGAAGGCGCGGCGATGTGCACGGTGAGGATGGGCAGTGTTCCCGAGGGCGCCCTGGCATCCCTGCCTCCTCGGTCCATCCTCGGCCACTCTCGCGGGCCGCGCCCCCCGCCCTTTGAAGCTTCGGAGCGGCCCTCGCAGGCCCTGGCACCACCCTTGTCGTGCATCCTGAGGATACGGGCTGACTGCACCCCGCTTCCCACCTGTTCAGGGGAACGACGACAACGACGACGACGACGATGGTTGGTGGGGGTACTCCGAGTTTCTTGATAAGCGTCGGGGGGTCGTCACCCCCCGCCGACAGCCCCACATCGACCCCCGTCGCTGGCGGCCGCCGCGTGCCGAAGGCGCTCCGACCCCCGCCGCGGCGCGACGACGAGGCGAGGTTGACCCCCCGTCGGGGGGGTACCCCCCACGCTTATTAAGAAACCCAGAGTTCAGGAGCGAACGAAGGACGTGCACGTACATGAATCCACGCTGGCTTCGAGAGTACGCATTGGACAAATGTTCGTACAACGCGGCCAGTCTCGCGGATCGAGGGGCGTGTTCGTGTACATAGCTGGGCGCGAGGTTGACCCCCGTCGGGGGGGCACCCCCTACGCTCATCAAGAAACCCGGGGGTAGGGTTCGTGCACATAGCTGGGCGCGTACGTCCCCCGTGGGCTCCCTGCGGGTAGGGTGAAGTCGGGCCTGTCCCTCTGCAGGGGTAAGATTCAAAAATAGCACAGACATAGTCTGGGGACTATTTTTCGAGCATTGTTTGAACACTTTTGAGTATTGCCTGACTGGTTTCAACATTTCGTCGAACATGCCCCTGTAGGGGGACACGCCCGACTGAAGGCTAGGGCCCGGACGTCGCCACCCGTGCGCTGCCCGCCCCCCTCTCTCTCTCCGGCCGCCGCCGCTGCCCGTGCGGGGCCCGCCTCGGCAGCCCCCCCGGGGGCTGCACGTGCGGCCCCGGCGCCCCAGCGGGAGGGCGTGGCCGACAGGGGGGAGCTCCAGCCTCAGTCGGGGGCGGAAAAGAGGGGGGTGATGACTAGGGGGGGGTGGATATCATGGCGCGGGCCATGATATTTCCCCAGGTTTCGTGGCGCCTCTTCTTATTTTATTACGTCCCTGGCCCCCCCGCTGGGCAGCGCACATGCCGCCGGTCATGATCTGCACCCCCCCCTCTTGGACGCCCCCCTCTTTGCCGCCCCCTCGGTGCTGGGGCCCCCCGGCGGCGCCTCCAGCGCCGCCCCTGGCGCGCTCCGCGCGCCAGGGAGGGGGGTCCAGCGCCGATCCGAGAAGTCCGCACGGACCTCCGAGTTTTATGTTTACATATGCCACTTCTTGTTCCCCTAAGCCTGAAGTCGGGCGTGTCCCTCGATAGGAGAGATGCTCCAAGACAGTGAAAAGATGGGCAGGGGACGGTCTTCAGAATATGTTTTGGCGATCTTGGAGTACGCATTGTGCATTTCTAATGCTTCGAAAGTTCTTGAGTTTTTTGGGGGCCAAGATCCTTTCATTTATAATTGTTCTATCCTTGGCCTCTCCCTGGCCACTAGGGGGCCCGAAACAATTAGAAACGAGCACAATTAGAAATGTGGCTATTCTTAACTTTTCGCCCCAAACCTCCCTGCAGGGGGCCATGCCCGACCTAACTCCAACCTAAGCTTGAGCCGAGGGCGTCCTCGTGCGGCCCCGCCGCCCTCACGCAGATGGCTTCCCACTGGGAGCGCGAGCTACAGACCCAGCGAGGGCGCCCGCATGCGGCTGAATATTGCCAGGAGGGGAAAACACACAGACACAATGAATCGTCGATTCCCGAGAAAGGATGGGAAAATATGGGAAGTGGGGGGGGGAAGACAAAAGCCCAGAAAGTATAGGGAAATATGGGGAATCATGTTGTTTGTGTCTATGGTTTGCGTGTCCCGGGGCCCCCTCACATTGAGCCTGCATGCGCGATGCCCTCTCTACCTTCGGCTGTGCCCCCCCTCTCGGTGGCGCGCCCAGGGGGGGAGGGGAGGAAGTCAGAGGGGGCCCGCCTGCTCAGAAGGCCGGAAGCCGTCTGAGCCTCCTGCGAAGGAGAGGCCGGCTTCTCCCTTGGGCGCGCCGCCGACACGTCGTCGTCGTCGTCGTCGTCGTCGTCCGAGGAGCCCTGTTGCGTTCTCCGAGGAGGCTCCGGAGAACTGCTCAGAAGGCCGGAGGCCGTCTGACCCTCCTGCGAAGGAGAGGCCGGCCTCTCCCCATGGGCGCGGCGCCGACCGGTCGTCGTCGTTGTTTCCGTCGTCGCCGTCGCCGTCGCCGTCGTTTTCGTTTTCGTCGTCGCCGTCGTTTTCGTCATCGACGTCGTCGTTTTCGTCGTCGTCGTCGTTTTCGTCGCCGTCGTCGTCGTCGTTGTTTTCGTCGTCGTCGTCGCCGTCGTTGTTGTCGTCGTCGTTTTCGTCGTCGTCGTCGTTGTTTTCGTCGCCGTCGTTTTCGTTTTCGTCGCCGTCGCCGTCGTCGTC